TTTCCTTCTTCATCTTTGCCGCATGTCATGTAATGGATGCTTTCACATAATTCTTATTTTGAGTGGTTCCTTTAGAAACCCATGCCATGTTTCTTTCTTCAAGTTTTTGTGCACTAAGTTTTTGTAATTTCTTTTTTTCCCGATATGATAAGCCGAGTGAGCACCCCGGCTGTGATTTTGTTTGAAGTAATGGAAATTATTTTTTTACCTTGCGCACTCTCAACTTCTTTTCTTCAAATTTGACACTTGATTGACTTGCCTCATTGCCTTTTGTAGCCAATGTCAACACTTTAATTGGCTCTTTGTTATTTGAGATCAAATCTGAAGTAGCACACTTATGACCATCTCTTTTCACGCGGTAAACTTGCTTGACCACCTCTTTCTTCTTCCATGAGCTCTGGACTGATTCCTTATGATTGAAACGGTCTTTGACGTGTGATTTTTCAAATGTTGATCTTCTTGAAACTGCATAGTATTGGTGAGATGGTCTAAAATAAGATGGAGAATGTGCCCTTATATTATACATGTCCCATGATGGATATGGATTTACATGAGCATAAGGAGGTATCCATGACATTGGCATTAGCGGCCCAAAGTAAGGACATGAATATGCTGCATAGAGATTTTAGGGGGTGATCTTGATGCTTCTAAACTACTTGACCGATAAGCACTTTTCTCTTCACTCTTTTTTTTGATATTTATCTAATAATTCAGCAAAGGTTATTTTCGATCTCTTACCCTTGCGCTTATTTCGGTCTTTGTTTTTTTTGTTTGCTTTCATTGATCATAGGATTTGCATGTTGCCCCCCAGTCCTTGGCGTCTTTACTGTAACTTCAATAGAACTCATGCCTTCAAGAATATTTTCATTGTGCTCTTGAACAACTTCTTTACTTGAAATCTTGATCTCATCACCTGCAATTTTTACCTTCTCTTTAATGGATCGGCTTGAAGCAGCCGATGCAAAAAGTTTTTGCCATCAGGACCAATTGGAATAGACTGGTCATCTGTCGGTGTTTCAACAAATTTCAATCGTCCCTTATCAATGGCCGATTTAACTATTTGACAAAACATGTTGCAATCCTCGAAATTATGCTTGGACGAATCATGCAACTTGCAATACATTCGTCCCTGGATGGATGGCTTGACATAGTGATCAAGAATTCTAATGTAATTATTTTTCAGCAACAAATCAAATATTTGATCACACATGCTTGAGTTGAAGGTATACTTCTTGTTTTCTAGCCGATCTTGGTGTACGAACGGCTTTGGAGGTAAGCAAACAAATGGTACAGATTTGGAATCTCCCCATTCGGCTATGCATTGTGTTTTCCACTCTAAATCCGATGTCTTTGGATAAGATATTATATTAGCATCGGATTTCTCAAAAGAATTTAACATTGGCTTTAAATTTTTGAAACGAAAATAGTTAGAACACACGTGTCTCAATTGAGACCAAGTGAAAGCCAAGTATGAAACAAGCAAAGCTACCCCCTTAGAGATAAGTTTTAAGTAAAGCAATGGGGAAGCCTTTGGCTGCAATAATAAGTCACTATCGGTCTTTATGAATGGGACAATAGGTTGACCGATATACTTTGTAACAATTTTGTTGCTCACAAGTAAATTACCCTTCATCATTGGTCCTTCAAAATTACTTATAAGATTTTTTCTAATAGATGCATCAACAATAAAGTTGTGACCAAATCTGAAAATAGGTAAATCACTTGGTAGACATACCTCTTCATACACGTTGGGAGAGCATGATGGTTTTATCACTTGAATAATACTATGTTCTACTTTTGAATAACTGTCCAATGCCTTGGCATCCTCTTTTTCTTCGATAGATTCGGTACACATACTATTTGATTCGGCTTTTTCAATAACCGGATTTTCTTTGTTACCTGAATCAATACTTTTCTCTTTTTGAATTTGCAAGCCTTCTCGCTCTTGTCTTATTTTAGCCCACATCTTAGTTTGGCGAGCTTTAAACTTTTTCATCTCAATTTGCATCCACTCCTCATGAAATTGCCCCCCAATGCTTTGAGACTCTTTTAGCAATGAGGTGCCGAAACTTTGCAATTGTTTAGGGGGCACATTGGTTGCTACAGAACTAGGCGAATGCATCATTTGCACAACTCTTGCTTTTACAGTAGCAAAGTCATGAGGCTTCCCGCCATCTATTAGTTCCTGGCGAATAGCGTTGCACAAATCCCAAGAGAATGTAAGCTTTTTCTCAATTACCCAATCTGGATATGGTTGCCCCTCGATGCTTTTAGACTCTTTTGTCAATGAGATGTTGCCGAAATTCTGTAATTGTGTTGGGGGGACATGATATGCCACGGTAGTAGGTGAAGGCATTTGTGCTCCTGTAGAAGTTTCACTTATTCGGCCATGACCATGAAGGTGCGGAGCCGAATTATGGACATCAACAGTTGCATATGGTGCCAGAAAATTAGTAGCATGAGGTGTAGCATATGATGTTTGAGGGTATTGGTTGAATAACTAGTAGTAGCATGTCCAATTCCCCTATCCACCGACACGTTTGGATTAACATACTGCAAGTTATTTGCCGATGAATAAAAAGTTGAAACACTTTGTTGCATACTATTGGAAGTTCCTACATGGTGTGTCTCGACTTGATTAAACAAACTCATCATGTTGTTCATCGGCATATAGATTTGTGGGGTTGCCGATGCATGGGAGTTGGGATACATATCTTGCATGTTGCTAAAATTATATGAAGTTGAAGCATGAAGATTATTCTGAATCGGCTGTTACGAATAATTAGATGCATAATTGATAAAACTAGGGCTAGCCGATACATTATGCTCATTAAGCGATCTGGCAACAACATATGCATTATTTGCATCTACATAAGTGAATTGGGTATTCATATTACCTTTGTAGATTACAAACCCTAGATGACGATCTCTTTGTAACAAGAACGGGCTGGAGACCGTTCAAAGCTTCATCCCCAGCGGAGTCGCCAAAAAGTATGTTCGCACATGAACATGTCACCATGTACGCTCGACGCCGGGGGTGATGCACCGCAGCTCACATCGAAGGAGACCTGCCAAAAGCGCGGTATGCAAGCAATCCGGTGGGTGCTTTTGAAGACCCGAAACCCCACGCACCCGGGAGGGAGCCCGTCAGGGCGCGCGGCGGCTGTGGGCTGCCCTAGGTCGACCTGATCGCCCCTAGGGCCTCGAGGTTCGCCGCCCTGCAACAAGAAGAACAGACGAAGAACGAGGAAGAAAAAAAACTAGGGTTAAGGAGAAAAGATAAAAGATAAAAAGTGGTAGATGATTTGATCGTTGTGTGTTGTTCAATCGGTCGTCACCCCTTAGGTATATAAGAGGTGGCTAGACTTCCCGTGAAAGGAAAAGGCTTGGATTCATGTCCAAAACCCTAGTCAAATTCGGATTGGTTTTGTCTGAACTTTCCAAAACTGTTCGGTTTAAACTGGCTGCACCTTGCGAGTAACTATTAAGGTGGTAAACGACCTTGGATGGAAACGATCCCAAAAGCAATCTTGACCGTTTCGACGAGACGAATAACTTTCATGTTGATTGTTTTTTGATCAAAGGTCATCTTGAAGATCAAATCGGTCGCGCAAAACAGGCTATTACTCGCGCTACCCATTAGACAGGGTGTCTGGTGGGGCGCGCCATTTTTTGCGTCCTGACAGGGTTATATTCCGATGGCCCTGTCAGGACGCAAAAAACGTTCCCATTTTCAAAATTTGTTGGCCAATTTCCAAAAAATGTTTATGCTTTCAATTTTTTTGGGAGTTTCAAAAAATGTTTCCATTTAAAGAATTGTTTGAAATTCAAAAAATATGTTCGTGTTTCAATTTTTGTTCGGGAGTTTCAAAAAATGTTCGCTTTTTAATAAAAAGTTTGGATTTTCAAAAAAAATTCTAGGTCTCAAAAAATGTTCCCAATTTCAAAAAATGTACGGAATTTCAAAAAATCTTCAGAAATTTCGAAAATTGTTTGCGTTCTAAAAATATATTCTTTCTATAAAAAAAGCTTAAAATTTTTAAAGCACTAAAACTCGGTTGCTACAGGACACTGGACATACAAAGGCCGTCTGCTACAGTAGCCTACTCTCTGCAATGGCCCCGGCAAACAGTCGATGAATCGGATAGGGCATAGATGACCTGGGCCGACCCATTTAAGGCAGCGAGGCGTGAAAATAAAAGAAAAACTACGCCCTGGTGGGAGTCGAACCCACAAACAGCGGCAAACACGACCACGCAGCTAACCAGTGCGACGAGGAAACTCTAGTGGCTAAGAAACGAAAGCCACACTATATCTTTATCTTTACCTAATCTTTGCACGGGGAAACTCTGTATTTTAGTATTCAACCCGCAGTCCTTTATTAAGTGAGAAAAACGTTTCGTTCAGGTTGTTTTTCTAAACGCCCCCTGTAGTTTCCAATATTCAACCCTTGGTCCACAAGCAAAAAATAGAGCACGGGCTCTCCCTCACCTCCCGATCCCAGCCGCCAGGAGGCGACCGACCCCGGCGACGCTCGATCCGTTGCCGCGACGTGCGCCGGTCGGCGCCGGCGAGCACAGCACCCTGCACCACCGTTAAGCCTCAGATCCTCCTCTCCTCCACGCGCGCCCGAGCTCGTCACTGTGTGCCGCCCGGGAGGGCTCGCGGTTCGATGCAGAACGGCAGCGGACGGAGCTTGCAGGGCCCGGATCTGCCGGGGGGGTGTGCCGGTGACGCGGAGGAAGGCCGGAGCACGCTTCCCGGTCGGCTCCATGGTGGCTCCTGGGCAGAAATCCATGGCGCTCCTGGGCAGAAAGGAGATAGGGAGGTGAGGGAGAAAGAAGGGACAGTGATGAGCTCCACACAGAAAAGGTTAGACACCTGGTATAAGCCTATCATTTCCTGAATCTTTCAATTCTGACGCTTAAATTGTTTGTCCTGATGTGTTTTCAGAATCTCATACTGCAAAGATTGATGGTCAGATCAAGTGTATTAATGAAATGTGCAACATGATGTCTCTTGATCTTAAGAAGACATTATATGAAGTTCATCCCAGCTTTGTTGAATTGGAAAGAATCAAATCCATGAGTATAAGTGATAGCACACTTGATAGGCTTGCAGGAAAAGTTCATGCACTAAATCAAGAAAAGAAACAGAGGCTCCGGAAGGTACTGATGTTTGCTGTTCATGTTTGTCATTTAACAAAAGTATGGGTCTGTGTGTATCTTTAGCGTATTCACCTTAGTCTATATGTTTTACTGTTGACCTCCAGTATGGGCCTGTCATTGTGTTTGAGTAGTTGACCTGATAATATGATTCAGCTTAGCAAATCATATCATGATTTATTTTTCCTGAACTGTCGAATATGTTGTCTTGCTTGTAACTCTTATGATTCAATGTACCTGTACATTTAATAAAAGCAGGAGCATGTATCTATCTTACTTCAATGCTTTCACCTTGGCATATATTGTTTTACTATTTGACCTCCAGTATGCCAGTCATTGAATTTGAGACTTGACATTATAATGCGATTCAGCTTAGCAAAGCATATCATGAATTTTTCTAAACCTTTTGTAGTTTGATTTATTTGGTTTATGCCATTCCATTATGATTTACATACACTATACATGACATGGTTTGCCATCCTAATTCAGTTTTATTCCTGACCAGTGTATGGTTTACTGACTTGTGCATTTTAGCATGCTTTCCTTTCAACTTCTGCTAAATATTGTTCCATATTTCTTTGTATCAAAGATCCATATTGTTGAAATTTGCATTATCTATTGCAGCTACAAGATCATGGAAGCACACTCATTGAGTTATGGAGTCTAATAGACACACCATTAGATGAACAGAAATGCTTTGATCATGTTACTTCTTTGATTTCAGTCTCACAAAATACAGCGATGCCCCAAGGATGCCTTGCACATGACCTTATTAAGAAGGTTAGAGTTGATTCTTGATTGTCTATTTATTTACTTATTTTCTTTCTATTTTCATCAAGCTAATTTCTTTAAATTATAGTAAATGTCATGTGAAATTCCTTTCCCCCGTTGTTTGGGTAGAGGTTGAGGTCAAGAGACTGAAGCATTTGAAAGCTCGCAAAATGGAAGAGCTTGTCTTAAAGAAAATGACTGAGCTTGAAGAAATCTAGAAAAGTGTTCACATGTATATTGACAGCAATCATGAGTGGCAGATTCTCAATGAACTTATTGATTCTGGTTCACTTCTTTCCCATGCTTTTCATCCTGAAGATACATAACTAAAGTTATTATATACAGTTTTGTTTCCATTAAGAACTACCCGATGCATGATTTAACTGGTGCTCCTTAGTTATATAAGGTTGCTGTTTCTGTCTCATCTTAAAATCCTGTGAATTTCTTAGTCAAATGCAATGGTAGGTTCTGCAACTGTCTTTCAACTTTGTGCCTTCTAAGTATCAGCTTGAATATTTAGGCAGATCAATTTGGATACAAAAATTGAATAAGCTCTTATGAAAACTAAAAGGGAAAAAATATTGCAACTTTGCAAGTCATTGCGTCTCTCCTTCAGAGGACGATTGCGCATTCATGCTCTAGGATATTTTTTACTGAGCTCAAGGTTGTGAACTATATATTTCCATTTCTTTGGTAGTGATATTTTGTTAAACTGGAGGTCCTAGCTATAGAACATCAACAGTGTAAAGTATATGCATTGCTAGAGGGGGAGGGGGGATTTGGATACAAAAATTGAATAAAAGCTCTTATGAAAAATAAAAGGGAAAAAATATTGCAAGTCATTGCGTCTCTCCTTCAGAGGACGATTGCGCATTCATGCTCTAGGATTTTTGTTACTGAGCTCAAGGTTGTGAACTATTTATTTCCATTTATTTGGTAGTGATATTTGGTTAAACTGGAGATCCTAGCTATAGAACATCAACAGTGTAAAGTATATGCATTGCTGCTCAGAGGTTCTGTAGATACATCTTTGCTGATTTTTCATCTTTATCATGTATGCTTCAATTCTTGCATGCCAAATAAACATAAGTTCATGTTTTATTGTTTAGTTGTCTCATGTTCGCTCTTCATTATTCTATATCAAAGTGATGTCGTTCAATGCGTTTGTCCCTTTCTGATGTTGTTAGGGGCTAGGGTTCTGCCCGGTCTTGGCCGTAGGCAGTAGGGGAAGGAGGGGGCTAGGCGTGGCGATGAGCGGCCGCGCCGGCGGCTGGGCGCCGTCGCGGGAGAGGAGAAGGGCGGCAGCTAGGGCTGTTGGCGGCTAGGGTTTCCGGCTCCTCAGGGAGCCGGGCAATAGGAGATAATATTCTTCTTATTGCTTGATCTGAAAAGAGTCTTACAACCTATATTTATAACCTAGATAACTTGCACACGAATTAACCTAAGATAACTTGTGGGCTAAGATTGCCCGATGGGCCTTCCATATGATCGGCCGGCCATAACACTTCTCCCCGCCTGCACAAACAACTTGTCCTCGAGCTGTAAGGTGGGGAAGCGCTTGCTTGAACTCTTCGAGGGAATCAACCAGCGTCAAACACCTTCTCGACATCTGGGGCGGCCAGGTCGGTGGCGACGGCGTCCTCCGGACTGTAGTCTGCCACCTCCAGGTAGAAGAGTCGCGGGCAGGCGTGGCCGGGCTTGTAGGGTTCGTCGCAGTTGAAGCACAGCCCTTGGCGGCGACGCTCGAGTATCTCAGCTGGGGTGAGCCGGCGGAACGGGCGCCCCGCGGTCGCGGCGAGGGGTGCCGCAGAAGCCTGCACGGGCCGACCCTGCGTGGAATTCGGTCCGGGTAGCGACCCAGCAGTCTGGGACGGTGATTCCTGCTGGATGGCCATCGGCGGCGCTCGAATGCGCGGGCGTAATACATGGCCGACTGGAGATCCTGGGGTCCCCGAAGTTCCACGTCCACGCGTATATGGTTTGGTAGGCCGCCCACAAATAACTCGGCGCGCTGAGTTGCGGAGACGCCCGGCGCGTGGCACGCCAGGGCCTGGAAGCGGTCGGCGTAGTCCTGCACCGCAGATGTGAAAGGTAAGCGACCGAGGGCCGCCAGTCGGCTCCCGCGGATAGGAGGCCCGAACTGGAGGAGATAGAGCTCCCGGAAGCGCTCCCATGGTGGCATGCCGCCCTCGTCCTGCTCGAGGGCGTAGTACCAGGTCTGCGCTGTGCCTGAAGATGATAGGACGCAAGCCAGGTGCGATCCGAAGCGAGCGTCCGCTGCCCTCGAAAGAACTGCTCGCACTGGTTGAGCTAGTTGAGGGGGTCCTCCGTGCCCTCGTAGGTGGCGAAGTCCAGTTTGGCGAAGCGAGGGGGTGTCGGCCCGCCGTGCCCGGGGGCGGCCGCAGTCGCCGCCGGCGCGTATGCTGGGTCTGGAAGCGCCGGGGCATAGTTCGCCGAGCTGGAGGGGTGATCAAACCGCAGGGAGGGCGTCGGGTGTTCCGGCGCCGTGGAGTAGACCGGGCCCGGAGACGAGCCGGTCGCCCAAGCGGGGATCGGCGATGGTGACGGTGGAAACTGCACCCGGTGCAGGGGCCGACCCGTAGCCCTAGGCGCGGGTGGTGGTACTGTCGATGGCGGCGGCGCCTGCGGCGTGGGGGCCGGCGGTGACGCCGGAAGAAGCTGCTGGGTCTGGCCCTGCTCCGAGGCGCAGGTTAGGGCTGGGCGGGGCCGGTGGAGGACCCTGCTCCGAGGCCGGTGGACGGTAGGGCGCGACGGAGGACGGCGCGGCCGGCGCGGTCCAGGGGGGCCACTGCGGCTCCATGGTGGCGAGAAGTGGCGGGGTTGCCGGCGCGATCTGCGGCGGCCACTGCGCCCAAGGCGGCGGTGCGGCCGCTTGGGCGGGGAGCGCCGAGTAGCCTCCGGTGATGGCCCCCGGTGCCGAGTACCACGGAAGCGCCTGCTGACCCGCGGCCATGGCTGGATGGAGTCCGGTGATGGCCCCCGGTGCCGAGTACCACGGAAGCGCCTGCTGACCCGCGGCCATGGCTGGATGGAGTGGTGGGGGCGGCCCGTACGGACCTGCCAGGTAGAGGCGGGGCTCTGATACCAAATTGTTATGGCGCTGCTAGAAGGAGGGCGCAAGAAGGCCGGCCGGGGGCCTTTTGCCCACGGCCGGGCAAGATGGAAGGATTTCCTTCTTAATTCTTGCTTGATTAGATTGATGCATCTCCTCTCTTTATATAGAGAGGTTTACTTGACTCCCAAGCAAGGCTTACTTGACCCTAAGAAAGCGACTCTTATCTCTAATTATCCCTAAGACTAACGGGCCCATTAGGCCCATTACGTACTCTAACACTACACCCCACCTGGACATGCAGCTTGTCCTCAAGCTGCAGCCTAACCAACTTATAACCATGACTCGACGCAACCCAAACCTAACACCTAAAAACAAGCCTTTTACATCTCGGCTTGTTTTATTATTCTCAACCTAAAATGGACTGGGACGCTTTATTTTGGACCCCTTAACAAAAAGTGGACACCATCCGCACGTCGGACATGCACGTGTACAGCCACCTGGATCCCATGGACACCATCTGGACAAAAGGAGTGCATGTGTAGGACCACCTGGAAGTGGTCGCAAGAGTGACCAGCAGAGGCGCCCTTGCGGCGCCCGGTGACGGAATGCAGTGGTGCTACGTGGTGCGTTGTTGTCGGTGACACCATGCCTTCTTCCTGCCGGACGGCTGTTGGTCTGCACCGCACAGGGAAGAGTGGGGGGCTTGCGATGGAGAATGACGAGGAGGGGTGCGCCCCCCCAACCACCAATGTCGTAGACTTGGAGGTCGCTGCCCGTGAGGAAAACAGCATGCCCAAGATCCCCGACGCAGTGGATGAGATCGAGGTCCTTTGCGCAGCGAAGCGCAACTGGGAGGAGCGGCAGCTGCAGACCACGCAACTCCCGCACACGCCGACGCGCTAGGAGGCCGCGTGCAGCAGCCTGCAGCCTCACCGTCGCCGACACATGGCGGGTAGTGATCCAAGCTGAAAGCGGTGACGGCGACGGCGGAAGCTTGATCTGCTGGATGGGGACGCCCTGGGGAAGCGGTGATGGCGACGGCGGGAACTTGATCTGGTGGATCGGGACTCCCCTCGGCGCGGTCGATGCGGGGCCGGAGCTGACCGGTGATGGCTGCTGCAGTTGCAGCGGCTGCTGCGGCGGAGCGCCGGGCGCGGCGGAGGTCGCCAGGAGCGGTGGCTGCCACTGCAGCCAGGGCAGGGGCGGTGGATGGCAGCTGCTGCAGCGGCCCGATGAGCGCGGCGGAGCCCACCTGGTGCGGCGGCTGCCACGGCAGCCAGGACGGGGCGGTGGTGGCGGTGGATGGCAGTTGCAGCGGCTGCTGCAGCAGCCCGACAAGCGCGACGGAGGCCGCCTGGTGCGGCGGCTACCATGACAGCCAGGACGGGGCGATGGATGGCAGCTGCAGCGGCTGCTGCAGTAGCCCGGCGAGCGCGGCGGGGGCCGCTTGGTGCGGCGGCTGCCACGGCAGCCACGGCGGTGCGGTGGCGGTGATGGGCGGCGCAGCCGGGTGCGGCCCATAGGACCCGGCCAAGAATAGGTGGATCTCCTGGACCGCCTGTGTGAGGTCCCGCAGCGCCCCGGACACCTCCGGGGTGAGGACGACGGGGGCGGGCGCGACGGAGGATCCCGGCGCGAGCAGGAGCGGGGCGACGGTCGTGACCGGCAGTGGAAGAGACGGGTTGGGCGGCGGTGAAGACATGATCGAACCGAAGCTAGCTGATACCAAGGTGTTAGGGGCTAGGGTTCTGTCCGGTCTTGGCCGTAGGCAGTAGGGGAAGGAGGGGGCTAGGCGTGGCGATGAGCGGCCGCGCCGGCGGCTGGGCGCCGTCGCGGGAGAGGAGAAGGGCGGCAGCTAGGGCTGTTGGCGGCTAGGGTTTCCGGCTCCTCAGGGAGCCGGGCAATAGGAGATAATATTCTTCTTATTGTTTGATCTGAAAAGAGTCTTACAACTTATATTTATAACCTAGATAACTTGCACACGAATTAACCTAAGATAACTTGTGGGCTAAGATTGTCCGATGGGCCTTCCATATGACCGGCCGACCATAACAGATGTAGAAATTGATTTCCATGAGGCATGAACTCAAGGTGCAACAATATCATTCTTCCTGGTGTTGCATTAAATATACCTCTTATTTGTTAAAAAAATCCTCTGGATTTGGGATTAGTATATTAGGTAGACATCTTTTGGTTAACGGCAGATTTGAGCGCAGGGTAGAATTCTTGGTTGATTCTAGAATTTCTTTGTAGATTAGCTGGCAGATTAGAACGTCTTTGGCAAGTTCTTTGTTGGTTAGGTCTAGCTCCCTTGGCACTGGACCCAGCAGACGTGTGTGCGTGTGCGGATCTCCCATGCATCCACTGCACCACTTGTTGTTGGGTGGCAGTGGGGTATCCAAGCGTGTGGAAGGCCTATCCGCCATGGCGGCGCAGCTCGGCTCCAAGGAGAACAGTTCCAAGGCCCAACTAACAGGCTACCACAATTCCTAGCCCAATCGCGGACTGTAATTAAATTGCTTTATTGATCAATCTATCAGTTAATCATAGGCTACAATTAACCAGTGTAGTTTGGATGTGCAGCACCAGAGACCATTTGATTGAATTGGTGGTACAGTAATACTAGCCTAATACAATTATCATATCCTTTTGTCCTGTCAAGCATATGGTCTTTTGTCCTGTCAAGCAGATGGTTAATTACTAGACAAGTAGAGCAATGCATTTTCTGTGTGCAATCCACACTGACAAGCCTGCAGAGGCTACTTCAAGTCAAGCGGCTTTAGAATTTCTTTACTATGTGTACTCATGTAGTATTTAGGTTAGAATAGTATCAGATTTGATTGGTCCCTCAGTTCATAACAGACATTGACCGGTTACTTCTTTCTGGCTTTAACTTTGAAGCCTAAATAACCACCTTTTGCTACTTAATTGCGCTTGCAGTCATTTGTGGTTCTCAGTTCATGAATAATATATGTTGACAAGACATAAATTCAGAACTTCTGGCACATATGTACTTTAATATACTTGCACGCTTTAATTTTGTCATTGAAATTGTTTCTTTGTTCTTCTAGGTTTTGGGTAGCCAGTCAAGTCATGTAATACTTTATCGTACCATTCCTTTTGATGTTAGATGTACAACAGTTTTATGCTCAAATAAAGATATATATGCATACAAATTAGTTGCTGGTTATTCCTTCATGATTTAGTTTTCCAGTTAAATGTAGTCTTGCCTCTTGCTCTTGCGCTCGTGTGATTGAAAACTAAGAGTACATGCATATGTGCATACACTCTGCCCCTCCTCTGTTTCCATTACTTTGAGCTACAGGAAAGGGAAATTACAGGTAGATGAAGTAGCATATGGGGGTAGCACTCACCTCTCCCTGTGAGGTTGCATCGAGCTCCAAACTTCAAGTGAGTCTTCACGAGCTTGTGCTGTATCTTGGGGTACCAGCTGACCGCCCCTGCACGCGATGCTATTTGACGGGGAACAACGGCATGGAGCAGCTGCCACAACTTATTTGGCGTGCCGGATGCAAGCGGTGCTACCCGCAATAGCTCTCGCCTTGCCGACGGCAACAGCCTTAGACGGCAGACAACATCTCACCTTGTGTGAATCGTCTCTGAGCTCGAACTGAGGAGAACATAGGCATGGGAGCAGCTGCCACAACTTAGGCCCGGGCTTGGACGCACCGGACGCGGGCCGTGCTACCTGCAAGGGATCCCTACTTGCCGCCGGCGACGGCGATGGCCCCGGACAGCGGACTGGCATCTCACCGTCTCACTTTGTGGGAAACGCCTCATTGAGGTCGAACTGAGGCAGCTAGAGGAGAGTCAATTACACCGGTGGTGCTTGAACTTGCCGCAAACGATCACTTTGGTGCTAGAACTTGTGGCATACATTGAACTGGTGCAAAAACTTGGCTCGGGCGTGCAAATACGATGCAAATCATGTTTGGATACGTAATGATGCTGAGTTGGCATGCCAATGTGGCATCTGCCCTGCTGTCAGTGAGGCCTTTTT